ATATATATATATATATATATATATACAAAAACTCTTACTCACCAACCAATGGGCGGTCTCCCTTTTTTTCCTCCAAGCTTGGGTCCTCAACCAGAGGCCTGGGAGCTTGAGGGTTCTGCCCAGTATCTTTGCTGTTCCTGGAACTGCACTCTTCTGGACCGAGATGTCTGATGTATTTCCAGGGATTTGCTGTAACCTCTCTTCAAGTTTGGGGGTCACTGCCCTGAGTGCCCCAATGACCAAGTATACTGTACCACTGATGGCTTGACCTTCTCCAGCTCTGGAGAAGCTGGAGAGTTTTTTTTGTTTTGTTTTTTTTCTCTAGCTCTTCTCTGAGACCCTGTGTCTTCCAACATGACAATGAACAGAAGCACACAGCTAGGATAACCAAGGAGTGGCTGTGGAAGAAGTATATCAAGATTCTGTCATGGCCTGGCCAGTCTCCAGAACTAAACTCAATAGAGAATCTTTGGAGGGAGCTCAAACTTTGTTTCTTCTCAGCGACAGCCCAGAAATCTGACTGATCTAGACAAGATCTGTGTAGAGGAGTGGGCCAAAATCCCTCCTGCAGTGTGTGCAAACCTGATGAAAAACTACAAGAAACATTTGAACTCTTTAATTGCAAGCAAAGGCTACTGTACCAAATAAAAAAATAAATAAATAAATAAAATAACTCATAGATTGTGATTTCTGGATTTCTTTTTTTTAGATTATGTCTCCCACAGTGGACATGCACCTACGATTACAATTTCAGACCCCTCGATGATTTCTAAGTGGCAGAACTCGATTAAAACAGGGTGTTCAAATATTTATTTCCCTGAGATTAACCAAACTGATCTTCCTACTGTAGCAGCCAAAATAAAACTATTTTGATATAAAACTGAACAATATTACTGTATACTTGTTGTCAAGCATGATAGTGATAAATTCATACAAACAGTCTGTTTTTTTTATTTCATCAATACTTGTTATATTGCAATGTATGATGTGAATAAAACAGAATGCTTGTAAATTTCTGGACTTTACATCCAATAATATTTGGGAAAATTTGTAGACTATGCTATGAAACCATTTTCCTAAACAAGAAACCAACAACATAAAAATAGTTCAACCTTTACTGGTAGGACATTAACATGATTACTTCATGAAAGCAATACAATGATCTCAGTGAGATGTTCTGTTGTGTCATTCTGACATAGCTTCCTCTTACCCATGACATAAATGAACTACAGCGATTCTTGGATAAGGCACTGTTATATTTTGAGTGTCACCCACACAATTGACTTTAATTCTAAAAATAACCAAGGAAAGAAATACTTTTTATTCTGTAGCATTACCTCCTACAGTATATTTAATGTATGTATATATATTAAAAAATAACTTATCCTCACCCACTACGGGTGGTCTTTCCTACTTTTTCCTCCAAGCTCGGCTCCTCTACCAGAGGAGAGGAGGGGCTTGAGGGTACTGCCCAGTATCTTTGCTGTTTCTAGAACTGCACTTTTGTGGACTGAGATGTCTGATGTATTTCCAGGGATTTTCTGTAACCACTCTTCAAGTTTAGGGTACCCTGCCCCGAGGGCCCAAATGACCACGGTTACCTCTGATGCCTTGACCTTCCAGGTTTCCTCCAGCTCCTCTCTGACCCCTTGTATTTCTCTACTTTTTAATGTTTATTTTTCCTGATGTTGCAGTCACGTGCTATTACTACGTCAACCACAACAGCTTTCCTCTGCTTTTTGTCCACCACCGCAATGTCCGGTTGGTTTGCCATTACCATTTGTATCTGGAGGTCCCACAGGATCTTGGCTTGATCATTCTCTACCACCCTTGGAGGTGTTTCCCACTTTGACCTCCAGCCACTTGGTTATGGCGCACCATGTAAGCTTTCCCTGCCAACATCTTACACCCTGCACAGTCTATATATATATATATATATATATTATTTATATGCAACATTTATTTTTATTTATTTTTTTTAAAGATAGTTTATTATGTTGAAAACAAACAGATGTCACCCAGAGAAATAATAATAAGATGCAGCTGGGGTTTAATTTGACCCAAATGATAGGAGCCAGTCTTCAGCGTTTCCTCTCAAGGCAGAAGTTTCGAGCATCAAACTCGCAGCATCACGTCACTCATCACAAAAACAATACATATTGGGACCACGTGCGCAGTCGGAAAATCTGGTTTCACGTCAGTGTCCATATGAGGAGTGTCGGACAGACTATATTTGGCGTTCCGCTAGTGACGCAGCAACCTCTGCGGAAAACAGGGCGGAGCCAACTGGACCCCGCCCGGCGGCTCGCGGCTGATATCAATGAACGACTGAAACTATGAAAAGTAGACCTAGGAGGCTCAGGGGAAGAGCAACAGCTCTTTACTACTACTTATACTTAGTTTTGTTTTATACCTTTAAGGTTAGGGGTTTTTAAAACTTTTTTTATTTGTTAAAGAGCCCTACTTTAATTGCCCACCGTTATATTTTAAGGTTAGTTTGTTTTAGTTTGACTTTTTAAACTTTTTTTTTCATCATGACTTCAAGCAGTGTGACACTAGAAATAACTGACAATGAGTTGGTCCACATCCTGAGGACCCCCCGGGATCAGTACACCTCCAGTGGGTGCGTGATCCTGGACTGCAGACCTTTCCTCGACTTCTCCGCCACGCATATCTGTGAGTCCCGAAACGTCAACTGGAACTCGATGCTGCGCCGCAGGTCCAAGAGCTCGGTGGTGGCCCTGGAGTGGCTCATCCCGGATAAGACGCTCCTGGCTCGGCTGCGGCGGGGGGAGTTCTCCCCGGTGGTGGTTGTGGATGACAGGAGCGGCTCGTTGGCCGGGCTGAAGGCAGAGAGCGTGGCCCAAATGCTGCTCACCGCCCTGCAGAACGAGGTCCAGACGCAAATCTGCTTCCTGCAAGGTGAAAACATTTTTCAACTTTAAAAAAAAAAACACAGGTGTTAAAATGTATTTGAGGCTTTTGAAAGGCCTTTTTTTTTTTTTTTTAGATCATCAGCAAATTAAATTAAAATCAACTTAAAGAACTTTTATTAAATGTTTTTTGCATCCACAATATAAGCTGATTATTATTATTGGTAAATGTGGCAGCTATGCTAAAATACTATGTAACTTCCTTTCAGGTGGATTTGAGGGATTTTCAGAGGCCTTTCCAGAGCTGTGTTATGAATCTGGGATCAACCAACTCACTTCTGTGGAACCAGAGCCAAGGGCAGGCCGGGGAACTCCAGCATATGATCAGGTATCTTAATAATTTTCTAAGCAGTACATCTAATTATTACCTCAACGAAGAAAAAAGTCAGATTTCTTAATTAACAATTGTATTAAATCTATTCCAGGATGGGCCAGTTGAGCTGCTGCCCTTTTTATTCCTGGGCAGTGCCGTCCACTCTTCCCGCAGAGAGATGCTGGCAGCAGCAGGCATCACCGCCGTCCTCAACGTGTCCTCCACCTGCCCAAACTTCTACGAAGGAGAGCTTCAGTACCTTCGACTCACTGTGGAGGATACACTCGTTGCTGACATAAGAGCCTGCTTCCACACAGCCATCTCTTTCATTGGTGAGCCCCTTTACTTTCTGCTAATTAAAGGTGTTTTTCTTATTATTTTTGACAGGAATGTCAGTTAAAAGTAACAGGATTTAAAATGCCTGAGGAACTCCCAGACCCTTTCTTCGTAAAACCAAACATCTCTAAGCAGCTTTTATGCAAGAATCCACTTTGAATCTCAGATATTTAATAATCTTGTTATTTGGCACACATTTCAGGAAAGAGGCTTATCAATTCCTAAACCTTGCCATTTTGCTTAATGTTAGCTTTTACTAATGGAAAACTAGAGTGATTTTCAGTTTTATTGTTGCCCAAGATTGGCAACAGCTTTCTTTTAAACAGACATTAAATCCTGAGTTTATTGATGGTTGACTAAAATGTTTAATGTGAACAAGAGCATGGTAGATTAATCTGTGTCCTTTATTCCTTTCTTGCCCACAGATTCTGTGAAGAAGAGTGGCGGTCGGGTGCTGGTGCATTGTCAGGCAGGTATCTCCCGCTCAGCCACCATCTGCCTGGCTTACCTCATGCACACGCAGCGTGTCCGCCTGGACGAGGCCTTCGACTTTGTCAAGCAGAGGCGTCACGTCATCTCCCCAAATCTGGCGTTTATGGGACAGTTGCTGCAGTTTGAGACAGACATCCTCTGTCAGGGATGAGAGACCAGTGGAGACGCACAGAGAGATCGTCATCCCACAGTGTTGTGGCAGACTCCGATTCTTACCAGGACTCGCACAAATGATGCGTTAGTACAGAAAACGGTACACTTAATGAGGATTCCGATAAGTTACTTGTGCTGCTGGCATCACATAACTGGATTCCTTTTTCAAAGCTCAGACTGAAAAATGTGTTATTTTATTAAACTGTGATTGGCAGTTTCATAACCTGCTGAAATATTTAACTTGAAATTGACTACAGCCCAGAAGTAGTAGGTTGGAGCAGCTATTCGGTACTTTCACTTACACTTTACTGGTGAGGGAAGTTGGTTCTGGTTGTGTGTGTGTGTGTGGATCTGTGTGTTTGTTATTTTTAAAACGAATGTGCCTGTTTATTGAGAATGTCTGGTTTGCTTTCATACTGAAGTCACTGTGACATAACTTTAAGAAAGCACTGTGTCAATACTTAAAGCAAAAGGGTTTTTAATTTCTTCAATTGAAGTAAAGAAATGCACTAACTAGAGTCTATATTATGAGGTAACCCATTTATAGGCTGGAAACAGTTTTAAATTATGTTTTTCTTTTTTTATTGCAGTGTTACAATTTTTGATATGCGTTTCTGCACTTTAAAACCTGCAAAAGTCAATCTACTCCTGTTTTTGTTTTTTCCACTCAAATAAAAACTTGCAGGAGAACATGTTTACTGTGCTCATCTTTCACTTCATATAAAGCACACCTCACTATGCTAGTTATTTTATTTACTCTTTCTGTAGAGACAGAGCAGTGTATTGCAGCTGTTTTCTAGGGCATATTGTAAATGTATAATTTCATAAACAGACCCTGCAGTGCCCTTGCTGAAGGAGGTGATTAAAGGCATACATGCTGGGTGTTTTGAAGGATTATCCTGTGGAGGGTGGATTTTACAGTCCAAAGTCCCTCCCTACCTTTAGCAATAACATGAACAAATCCTGTTTGCCCATTTGAACTGTAACAAAACATTTGGAGTCTTGATAGTTTAAAAAGTTAATGCCTAAGATGAGGTTAGTGGAGTGCTTATTCTAACTATTAGTGATTATAAGTCTCTAGTTCAGGGGTCTTCGATGTTATCCAGGCTAGGGACCCCCAAACTGATGGAGAGATGAAGCGGGGATCCCCTAATTATATATATTGTATGAAATTGTGTTATATCAAACTGGTCCTATAGTCACTATCACATATGGAGTAATGTAACGAAAGTAATTTCATGAATCATCATCCCTTACATGGCATAAATATAATATATACATATTAAATAGCAGTAGTGCGGTAAAAAAAGCACCAACAGATTTCTATCACTTTTCCTTTGATCAAATGCAGAAATGTATACGTTTTTAAAATTATTTTATTAAAGGTGAAAAGCTACAGAATCAACCAGCTCTTATCCAAAGAGTAATTGCCTCCCTCATGAATTGAATGCTTACAATGAGTATTTATTGGTTTGGCCTGATCTACCAGCTAGATTTGGATCTGATCAATACAAGTCCTGTAGAATAAAGCCTGTGCTATCTCTATATTTATGCTGCTATAGGCTTAGACTGCTGGAGGACATAGGGAATCCTTTTTCATCATTCTGCTTCATTCTATCTCTATTCTCCCACTCTGCAGAATTTATTACTTCAATCTCTAACATTATTCTCTCTCTGCTTCTTCTCATAGTCGCTTCATCTAGTCTGTTCCTGTTTGGCTGTCACACCTTTGTGGATAGAAATATCAGCTATTGCTATAACATGGGTGCTGGCTCTGAGTTCATCTGCCTGGCTTTGTGTTTTCTGGACGGGGCGGCCTGTGGAGCTGGTTGACAGTTGCCTTTTGTATCTCTAGTTCTTTCTGTATCTCTGCTTCTGTCTCCTTGAACCCCAGTCGGCCTCAGCAGATGGCCGTTCACACTGATCCTGGTTCTGCTGGAGGTACCTTCCTGTTAAAAGGGAGTTTTTTTTCCTCTCCACTGTCGCTACAAGCATGCTTGGTGTGAGGGATTGCCTTTGAGTTAATGAGTCGATGCAATCAGTTGGTTTTCCTTAGATAGAAAACTTTGACAGTTTGACAGTTTAATCTGGTTGAATTGTCTCTGTAAAGTGCCTAGAGATGAGATGTGTTGTGAATTGGCTTATAAAGATAAGCATAACCCTAACCCATGTAATTCTGAGAAGGGTTACAAAGCCATTTATAAGGTTTTGGTACTCTAGTGAGCCACATTGGCAGCCATTATCAAAATAAAAAAATAAAAAATAAAGAAAATTAATAATTTAAAAATATAAAAGATTGAAATAAAGTAATTTTTAAACAGGGCCGTGGACTGATGAGGCAGCTGTGGACTGATGGGGAAAACGTGGACGTATTTGGTAAACCGTGTGTTGAGGTACATCTGATGTGAACTAACAGCATTTCTAATAGAAATAAGACTTTTAAATCAGACATGCTTTATAGAATCATAAAAGAATATAAGAGAAACATGAAACACATTTGTGAACCTTAAGATCAAAACATTTTTGCCACAACTTCACTTCCAAGAGAGTACATTTCCATTGACCATCCATTCGCTCAAGTTGTAATTACAAAACTGAATGCACTCAATCAAAACCCACTGAGAAAAAAAAGAACATGCTTTTCAGTTAAGGGTTATTGCACAAGGAAGAGGTGATTTTCTGACCTCATCAATATTGGTGCATTTCACAAAAACTGCAATGGAAACACTTGTTTGCCTTTTACATAAGTCACCTGAACAACAACTACTGGCAAAAAAAGATAAAGAGAATGACAGGAAGTAGAATAAGCATTATGGTGCATCATGTTTTTTAAATGAGCTATCAGGGGAACAAAGTGTGACTTTAACAAAAATTTTTACTTAAAGAAACACTGCGATTTCTGCAAATTGCCTCTTTCTGACATTAGCACATTTGTGATGGAAACACAGCTGATGACTCATCCAGGAAATAACAACGTACCCCAGAAGGAACAACAAACCACTGCAGGTCTCACTTGCACAAATTAACTACAGTGTTTTATTAGAGGCAAAATGGAAGAGTTCCAAGCCAAATTCATTGCCTATTTAAAAGAACACAAAGTCTCATCTTACATAAATCAAAAACATCTTTAAGATCCACAGGATCTATAGGAAAAAATGAAGTAATAATAAAAAAAAGGGCTAGGGACTGATAAGGCAAACTTGGAAGTAATTGGTAGACTGTGTGTTTAGGTACCGTACATCTGATGTGAACTAAAAGCATTTATAATAGAAATAAGACCTTTAAATCAGAAATGCTTTATAGCCTCGTAAAGGAATATAAGGGAATTTACACCAATTTAATTTCAAGTTCACTTGGGATATCCTGTGAGAAAATGACAAAAGAACACAAACACATTAAACTTTGAATAGCTAGAAAATTAAAAAAGTTTCTGAAATGTGTAAGTTAATGAATACTTAAATAATGATTCTTTAAGGAAGTTGTTGGACCTTAAAATGAAGGTTAAACTGTTCTGACATAGTGGTAGGTGTTGCTGCTACGGGTGGCACGGGCAGCTTTTTAAGTTATAGGACAATTTTCATCTTCATAAATAAAATCACCACTGCGACTTTTATTCAATTGCGTGAATTTTGCATAATGCAAGAAAATGTTTTGATAATCTTTAACACATTACTGTCAAAAAAAGAAAGAAGCAACCTGTATGGTAGCAAACACTTTTCAAAGCTCAAGATATATGTATTTATGGCTACGCAATACTTTTCTTCTTTTTAAACACTCACATCTATTTTTACTTATGGCCAGAATAAAAAAAAACACTTCCCCTAATTTACAATTATCCCTCCCCATCGGGTGCAAAAGTGGAACTATATTTGACTTCTTTCTTCCATTTGCCATATTTTTCCATCTAGTGAACAGAAGAATGCCCCTGTTCAAGCCTTAGTGGAGAGTAAAAACAATGCACTTCCAATAACCCCCAGCCTAATACTAACACTTCGACAGTAACTGTATCAAATGTTTCAATTTAATTTTAATGTTCTTTGTAAGACTTTCCTTTAATTTGTAATAATGTCTAAAATCATGAAGCACAGTGCCTGCAATATTTTATGGAACTGCAAATGATTTAAAATGAGACAGAATCCCCTGCTGAACAGAGATATATGACCTTTAATTTGATTTCATTTAATATGCTCATTGGGATAGAAACATCCCACAGTCAAATAAAACTGAGCTGTTCATTTTAATCAGTGGAGATAGTTTTTCTTTTTACTTGGAAGATAAATGTAGACAAGGTTTTTTTTTTTTTAGTTCATATATTGCCTTTTTAATCTAATCACTCTAAGTAATGAATAACTGGTTTTAGCAAAACTCCCAGTGGCCACAGCAGATTGTAATTTAAATTTGTGTATTGCATTTTGGGTTTTTTTTTTTTTATGAAAATTTTCTTCCATAACATTTAAGAAGATTCAAGAAATGCAGAAATGGGGCTTTTTCCTTAGTCCTCTTAAACACTTTTCACTTTTTCAATTTTAGGTCTAGTGAATGAGATAGTGATGGTGGAAGGATGCTTTTGCATCTATTTCAGTGTAATTTGTACATATATCATTGTTCTACAATATGGCAGCGTCACAGACAGAAGCCTACAGATGTCAAAATTCATCTATATAACATTACTGGCATTCAATCAAACAGGGATCATAGAGCCTTTGGAAGAGACAAAAGGTTCACAGCATTACTGATCCTACACCATATTTAACAATAGACATATTGTGTTTAAATCTACTGAATTTCCAATTAAACGCTCAGCAGACTCCAGCAAACTCCTTGTTTATATTGGTGATCATTTTAATAATTTTTATTTTTCTTGTTTACTTCTTAAATCAGACATGTTGGTGTTCTAATAGTTGCATTTCTAAAACTGTGAACACTAAACATGTTGTTTTTCTACCCTCCATATTAGTCAGCACCTTGTGCTTAATGACAAGATACGCTTCAGCCCTCGTCCTGCCATGTGTCTAAACGTAATGATCTCTGTGTCATGTTATATTTATATACCAGTAAAATACAGTCATGAATTACTGTACTGACTGAAAAATTTAAAGGACACTGATCAAATCAAAAGCAGAAGCTAAAAAATGCTTCAGCTGTGTTATTTTAGGAGTTTTCTGTGATAAATATGAAACAAGCATTTTTAAATTAAAAACAACTACTGTCTGACAGTTTACACTGTGATCAAAGTAGTGTTGGGCTGATTACATTTTTTGGCCCGATCTGCCTATCGATACCCGATACCTGGCTGTGCAGTATGGGTCGATACCGATACCATATCGATACCATATCCATCTATTTGAAATTGATGTGTGTGTGTATATATGAAGAACTGCATGCTACTTGGATGTGAAATAATTACCATCATAACTTTGTCAAGCTGCTGCCTACTTTTGTGAAGCAGGAAAAAGTCTAATACAAAGTGAATCCAGTAGAACTTTTTATTGCCTACCTGGAATGGGTGAATATAGTTGAATAAACTTTTGGCTCTCAAAATGGTATCGCTGCCCTATTTGTTGGTATTCGCCGATACCGACACCACATTTTCATTACTGGATAAGGGCCCCACCCTACTGTATACTGGCATCGGCATCGGTGCAACACTAGCTCAAAG